ACCAAAATACTCCGAATAAAAAAAAACACTGGGCTTTTAAAACATGATTTTCCTCGCTTGAAGTTTTGAACATTCAGTGACCAGTTCTTTTTAGATCCAGTTTTCCAGCAATATCTTGCTCTCTTGACATTGTGGCAAGCCCCAGCAAGTCTCTCTTGCACCAATTGTTGAACGCATATATGGGGTTTTTTTAAAAATAAAGTTTTACTTTGAAAAGCTACGTTCCCCACACACTCGTTCGACTGACTGATACATTATTTTTTATAATACATGTTAAGGGTTGTCATTATTGTGCAGTGACGCCAACACACGTTTTGACTTTTTAAGAGCCTTTCTATCCAGACACAGCGCTAACGATGCCCAGGGCTCTGGTTCTTGAGGCTTGACCTCCGTCACTTCTCTAAAATCCCCTCTCCTTTTATACCTCCCAAGCCCCATCTCCGGAACCTTCCATCACCCCACTCCCTTCGGCCAATCCTGACCATTCCCTACCAACGGTTCTTCATCGTCCTTCTACAGTCCACCCCTCACTTCCCGGCCTTTTTGCCTTTCAAATCTATCCTCCAATCCCTCTCAATCTTTCCTCGTGACCAATCCCTGTGGAGGCCTCTCTGCAACTAATTGGAGGCCTTGGCCTACGTCCCGATTGTTTGTAGCGCCATTATTAAAACGCTACGTGAAAGTTAGCCTGCTACTACGCCGATAGGTCAACGGGGAGCAGATAGGAGGCCTAATAGGTTGAGTGGCAGTTAAGCCAAGGTAACCCCCCCCCCCCCATGGGTATCTCGTGACTGGAGGGGTGGACCCCGGCTAGGGGCGGAGTGAGCCCCGACTCGGCGTGTAAAAGCCGGTCCCTCTCAACGGGACCGGCAGTTGTCGTCCACTCAAAGAACCAAAGACATCTCCAGTCTAGAGCCCTGGGACCCCTCAACCGAGGCTCTTGTCAAAAGCCCGGTTCGAGTGGGCCAGGGGTGAGACCCGGAGACCCTGGCAAGGTCGGGTCAGAATAGCCTCCCCTAGGTGCCGATAGCGGAGGACCCGATAGAGAGGAGCATAGTCCCGAGTTGAAGAGGACACGTGAGCCCGGATATCGGGTGGAAGGGGCTGTTATTGCGTTTACTGTTAATAAACTTGTTGCCTCCAAGAGGAAGTCTCCTACAAGTTTGTACCCACTACACTTGTGTCAGGTAAGCGGTCTGCGATCTCGGTCATTACAATTGTAGAGCCTGTGTTGTAACAATCATCGTGAGCATAATCCAGCATTGGACCATCTCTTTTTGAACCAGGGAGATGACATGACTCGAACTACAGGTGACGTGACACTGGATTATAATGTAGATGAATATTACAATAGGTTTAAAGCGACAGTTTCCTACTTTAATTCCCGAGGACGCCCATGATCTTTGGTATAGAAGGAGTCAGGAAGTGATCATTGTGATTGTCTTTCTGTTTGACCGTGTCTTTCTGACCGTCTGATTACCTGTCTGACTCTGTGTCTCTGTCTGACTCTTCCTGTTTGTGTGTCTCCGTGTCTTTAGGCTACGATTGTCTCCGATCGGAGATCTCAAATCATTTTCATACGTAAACAAGTTATCAACATTTACGGGCCGGTACGTGTCACACTCACACACACACACACTCTGTTGTCGTGTACGCGACTAATATTAGTGCACGGAATTACAAACCGCCCGCCACCCACCTGCTCAAGTACACACCCACCCACCAGCCGACCCAAACACGGCCATATCCCTGCCCACCCACACCCAACCCATACACTCAAAACACACATCCATCCGCTCACTCACCTGCCCACCCACACAATTGTTCGGCACGACTCATGAATTTTAATACAAATGTCAAGGATTGTCATGATTGTATAGCCTGTGTTGTAATACTCATCTTAAGTATAAATCCAGTGTTAAAACGTGTGTTGTTCACCACAGAACATGACGTAACGACAGGTGACGTGACACTGGATTATATATAGTGAGGGAAAAAAAGTATTTAATCCCCTGATGATTTTGTACGTTTGCCCACTGACAAAGAAATTATCAGTCTATAATTTTAATGATAGGTTTATTTGAACAGTGAGAGACAGAATAACAACAAAAGAATCCAGAAAAACGGATGCCAAAAATGTTATAAATTGATTTGCATTTTAATGAGGGAAATAAGTATTTGACCCCTCTGCAAAACATGACTTAGTACTTGGTGGCTAACCCCTTGTTGGCAATCACAGAGGTCAGACGTTTCTTGTAGTTGGCCACCAGGTTTACACACATCTCAGGAGGGATTTTGTCCCACTCCTCTTTGCAGATCTTCTCCAAGTCATTAAGGTTTCGAGGCTGACGTTTGGCAACTCGAACCTTCAGCTCCCTCCACAGATTTTCTATGGGATTAAGGTCTGGAGACTTGCTAGGCCACTCCAGGACCTTCATGTGCTTCTTCTTGAGCCACTCCTTTGTTGCCTTGGCCGTGTGTTTTGGGTCGTTGTCATGCTGGAATACCCATCCACGACCCATTTTCAATGCCCTGGCTAAGGGAAGGAGGTTCTCACCCAAGATTTGACGGTACATGGCCCCGTCCATCGTCCCTTTGATGTGGTGAAGTTGTCCTGTCTCCTGAGCAGAAAAACACCCCCAAAGCATAATGTTTCCACCTCCATGTTTGACGGTGGGGATGGTGTTCTTGGGGTCATAGGCAGCATTCCTCCTCCTCCAAACACGGCGAGTTGAGTTGATGCCAAAGAGCTCCATTTGGGTCTCATCTGACCACAACACTTTCACCCAGTTGTCCTCTGAATCATTCAGATGTTCATTGGCAAACTTCAGACGGGCATGTATATGTGCTTTCTTAAGCAGGGGGACCTTGCGGGCACTGCAGGATTTCAGTCCTGCATGGCGTAGTGTGTTACCAATTGTTTTCTTGGTGACTATGGTCCCAGCTGCCTTGAGATCATTGACAAGATCCTCCCGTGTAGTTCTGGGCTAATTCCTCACCGTTCTCATGATCATTGCAACTCCACGAGGTGAGATCTTGCATGGAGCCCCAGGCCAAGGGAGATTGACAGTTCTTTTGTGTTTCTTCCATTTGCGAATAATCGCACCAACTGTTGTCACCTTCTCACCAAGCTGCTTGGCAATGGTTTTGTAGCCCATTCCAGCCTTGTGTAGGTCTACAATCTTGTCCCTGACATCCTTGGAGAGCGCTTTGGTCTTGGCCATGGTGGAGAGTTTGGAATCTGATTTATTGCTTCTGTGGACAGGTGCCTTTTATACAGGTAACAAGCTGAGATTAGGAGCACTCCCTTTAAGAGTGTGCTCCTAATTTCAGCTCGTTACCTGTATAAAAGACATCTGGGAGCCAGAAATCTTTCTGATTGAGAGGGGGTCAAATATTTATTTCCCTCATTAAAATGCAAATGAATTTATAACATTTTTGACGTGTTTTTCTGGATTTTTGTTGTTATTCTGTCTCTCGCTGTTCAAATAAACCTACCATTAAAATTATAGACTGATCATTTCTTTGTCAGTGGGCAAATGTACAATATCAGCAGGGGATCAAATACTTTTTTCCCCTCACTGTAGTAGATGAATATTATAACAGGTTTAAAGCTATCCTACTTAAATTCATGTGGACGCCCACGATATTCGGTGTATTATAAACACGATATACTGAAATTCCTTTAATACCGTCATATATTTAGCACCATTTAACTTAACGCCCCAGGCGATCGCCATTGGTTCGCCTGTATGGATGGGCGAACGCCCCTGACTGGTAGTGAGACAAGGCCAGAAAGAAGGCTGCCATCTCTGGTGTCGGCCAATCAGTCTCACAAAGACAACGCGTACATTATGATGGGAGCATGTTAATTTGCATGTTTTTGCCACAAGTTACGTGTGGTCAATGCAGACTTGATGCCTTGCAAAAGGTATCATCTCTTTGGTGTTTGAACATCTTAACAACTCCTGTTTTATTGGCACAGAGGGTAAAATCTATCCTTAACTTTCATCGTTTTTGATGCTGGCAAAAAAGGTCCAATAGATATCACCGAAGTGGGTTATCGCGCGGAAATTAATAGCGGCCAATTATTCCGAACGCGCGGTGTCGATTCATAAATGCGGAGAGAAAAATCGGAGGACCTGGAGAATAATCCACGCGACCACAGGGAGAGAAAGAGAGACGCGCAGACACCAAATGTACAGCAGGACGTCAAAAGTTGGCATCGAACCCAAGACCTCCTGCAAACCATCCCCTTTAAAATTAACCAACCGCCTGCTTCTCCTCCCCGTCTCCCAATGCGCGCATCCCCTCTACGTTTGGTGGAACGCAGGCGTGCTCCAAACCGTAATTGAGGTTAGTTTGGGTTAGATGGCGTGAATACAAATGTGTCGCTCAACCCACCACCACCATCCTACCTGACACAGCTAATCAGCAAGGGTTTGTCACGTAAACAAAAAGTGACAGTTAGTTGACTAGTCCAGCATTTAAACCGGTTGCATGTTGGAGAGTAAACCCACAACATCCACAATTGTAAACTGGTCACGAATTGGCACGTTTATTTGTCGTGAAAGCCCGCGCTCCAAACGTCCGTATTCAGCTGGCTGACGTTGGCGGCCGGAGCGAGCGTTTCGTGAACCAGAAGGTCTGAACAACGCGGCAACGTCCCACTGCGGGCACGACCGCCGAAAGTGAAGAGAGTGGGTCGCCCGTCCATACGCCGACTTGGCGGTCGCCAACTCGTCATCTCTCCAGGGCAAATGAAAAAAAATCGCTCCCACTTTGTCCGTCCCCCACGACTCCTCCCTCCCCCGTTCTGCCCCCCCCCCGCTCATCTCTGCTCCCCCCGCTCCTCCCTGCTCCCCCAGCTCCTCCCTCCCAGCTACTCACTGCTCCCCCGGCTCCTCCCTGCTCCCCTGGCTCCTCCCTGCTCCCCCAGCTCCTCCCTCCCAGCTCCTCTCTGCCCTCCCCCTCCCCCCCGCTCCTCCCTCCCCACCCCCTGCTGCCCCCATGCTAGCTGAGATCACCGCAGTGCGTGTGCTCCTGCTGGCGCCGGAGTAGCCCGGGCAGCGCAAACGTCCTCTCACACCGGCGGGGTGAGCGGTCGCACCGGCAGGCTCGCTCCTCCGCTCCTCCGGCGTCTCCGGCGTCGTCGTCGTTGTCATCGTTACGGTGACGACGGGGCTCGGGAGGGTGCGGCCGCTCTCCCGCGCCGTGCCCCCGCTGCTGGCGCTGCCCGAGCCCCGGCACGGAGACCCCACCGCACAGCAGGCAGTGCCGCTCCCCCGCGGAGCCGCCGACGGCCGCGGCCGCGACACCGCAACGGGCGCAGCGGCGGCGGTGCCGTCGCGTCGCGTCTGCGGGACGACGCCGGATCGGCGCGTGGCTCCGGGAGTCGAACCGAGGCCTCGGCGGATCGCCGGCCGGTGCCGGCCGCTGGCCACACGCGGGGCACGGGAAGGCGGCGATCGCGGTCCCTGCCGCAAACAGCCGTGTCAGCGCGAGCGGTTCCGGCATGTGTACCTGTCGGAGCTAAACTATGAAAGATTTTTTTTTTACGTTTTATTTTACCAGATCTCAAGGCCCCCAACTGAGGCTATGTCGCTTATTTCGTCAGAAGCGCCGCTGGCCATCGCAAAAATTATAGCTCAACGAAGTGGGCTTATCATCGTCGTCGTCGTCGTCGCATGGAGATGTACGGCAGCAGCCAAACACTCTCAACGTGGGTTTTTACACTCATAGAGACTCAGCATCGAGAACCACAGACACCCATAGAGAATCAACATCACGCGTTTAGAGTATTTGCCTGCTGCTGCTATAAATGATCATGATAATAAGCCCACTTCGTTGAGCTATCATTTTCGTAATGGCCAGGGGTGCTTCTGACAAAAAAAGAGAGCTAACACAGCTCAATGGGGCCTTACAGTTACATGCTAATTTCTCACATTAACATAACTAGCCCCGCCCACTGCTTTATAACCCTTGAGCTACGCCCATTGCAAACCTTTTTAAACAGTCTGCCCTCAGCAGCAGACCATGCTTTCCCTCCTGATGACGGACGCTTGTGTTGCTCCCGAAACGTCGGGATTCATTTTATTTTTCCACCTACGTGGCTTTACCGAAAGAACCAAAGAGTATGGATTCCTGCATTCACGAAAGCTTCAAATCACAGATTGAAAAACAAAATAAAATGTTTTTTAAGTCTCAATTGAGATCGAGTGCGATCGGACGGCGGTCGTCACGAAAACGACGTCGCAGTTCATCCATCGCTCGGCCGCGCCGGGGTCGGGTCCTCACCGTCGCCGCTCGGATCCTGCAGCTCCACCTTGGCCTCGACGCCTGGGGCCGTCGCAGCCACCGCCGCGTATCTCCGCGTGGCCGCAGTCACCGCCCCCGGCCTAGCGCTGAGACCAGCAGCCTGGAGGTCCCTTCCATAGGCCTGGAGGTCCCTTCCATCACCGACCTGGAGGTCCCTTCCATCACCGAGCTGGAGGTCTTCTCTGTCACCCAGCAGGTTGTCTCCTTCCGCGTGGACGACGACGTCCACCCGGAGGCTGCGCAGCTCTCGACCATCCGCCCCTTCCCCGTCGCACGGGAGGCCCCCTTCTTCCGCCCGAAAATCCTCGGCCACGTCTGAGGGCGTGACGCGTCGGGAAGGGGTGGCGGAGAGAGGGGGGTGGCGTTAAAGTACCGGCGCGTGTCACCCCGGCGGCCGCGTGCGTGCGTGCGTAACCGTCCGTCGCTACGCGCTCCGTCGTCGTCACCTTCCCCGTTCGCAGTCATCGATTGCAGCTGACCATCGATAATTATTCGGCACAGGTATAACGGCGGCCACCGTTCACCGCTAAGTGGCGGCGACGTCACCACCGGCGCTTGTGCCAGTCGCGGTGCACTTTTGGGGCTATCGCGTGAAGTGTTGGAAGGCTCGCCGCCGCCGGCAGGAGGTCACGGGACAGACCCAGGTGGTGCCATGGGTTGACTGGCCGAGATGACTGGCAGACGCTCCACCAGTGACCACATTTTGCGTGACCAATAACTACTGATGCGAACACCGAATTGCACAGCGCACTTTTTGCCAATAACTACAGTAATAAAAATATTAAAATATACACGATGCCATGCGGCAAAAAGTGCGCTGTGCAATTCGGTGTTCGCATCAGTCCGGCGATCGTCAAACACACATGGTAGTACTAGTAGTACAACTTACTACATCACCCCATGATACAGAGTCTTCGTGATTGGTGCGGTAAGTACAGTGCAGCAAATGAAGCAACTTTTTTTACGGCAGGATGTTTATTTGTGTCTATTTGTACGTTTATTTACGACAAATTTCACATCGCAAACAAATTTAAAACACTGAAAAAAAACACACACGTCTACTAACATAACGTTGTACAATAATGTGAAAAAATAAGCTATTATAAATAATGATTGGTGATTATCCTCCGCATAATCGCCGATCGGCTCCGCGTAATCGCCGATCGGCTCCGCGTAATCGCCGATCGGCTCCGCGTAATCGACGATCGGCTCCGCGTAATCGCCGATCGGCTCCGCGTAATCGCCGATCGGCTGCACGTAATCGCCGATCGGCTGCGCGTAATCGCCGATCGGCTGCGCGTAATCGCCGATCGGCTCCGCGTAATCGCCGATCGGCTGCGCGTAATCGCCGATCGGCTCCGCGTAATCGCCGATCGGCTGCGCATAATCGCCGATCGGCTGCGCATAATCGCCGATCGGCTGCGCATAATCGCCGATCGGCTGCGCATAATCGCCGATCGGCTGCGCATAATCGCCGATCGGCTCCGCATAATCGCCGATCGGCTCCGCATAATCGGCGATCGGCTCCGCATAATCGGCGATCGGCTCCGCATAATCGGCGATCGGCTCCGCATAATCGCCGATCGGCTCCGCATAATCGCCGATCGGCTCCGCATAATCGCCGATCGGCTCCGCATAATCGCCGATCGGCTGCGCATAATCGCCGATCGGCTGCGCATAATCGCCGATCGGCTGCGCATAATCGCCGATCGGCTGCGCGTAATCGCCGATCGGCTCCGCATAATCGCCGATCGGCTCCGCATAATCGCCGATCGGCTCCGCATAATCGCCGATCGGCTCCGCATAATCGCCGATCGGCTCCGCATAATCGCCGATCGGCTCCGCATAATCGCCGATCGGCTGCGCATAATCGCCGATCGGCTCCGCATAATCGCCGATCGGCTGCGCATAATCGCCGATCGGCTCCGCATAATCGCCGATCGGCTCCGCATAATCGCCGATCGGCTCCGCATAATCGCCGATCGGCGCCGCATAATCGCCGATCGGCTCCGCATAATCGCCGATCGGCTGCGCATAATCGCCGATCGGCTCCGCATAATCGCCGATCGGCTCCGCATAATCGCCGATCGGCTCCGCATAATCGCCGATCGGCTCCGCATAATCGCCGATCGGCTCCGCATAATCGCCGATCGGCTCCGCATAATCGCCGATCGGCTCCGCATAATCGCCGATCGGCTCCGCATAATCGCCGATCGGCTCCGCATAATCGCCGATCGGCTCCGCATAATCGCCGATCGGCTGCGCATAATCGCCGATCGGCTCCGCATAATCGCCGATCGGCTCCGCATAATCGCCGATCGGCTCCGCATAATCGCCGATCGGCTCCGCATAATCGCCGATCGGCTGCGCATAATCGCCGATCGGCTCCGCATAATCGCCGATCGGCTGCGCATAATCGCCGATCGGCTCCGCATAATCGCCGATCGGCTGCGCATAATCGCCGATCGGCTCCGCATAATCGCCGATCGGCTGCGCATAATCGCCGATCGGCTGCGCATAATCGCCGATCGGCTCCGCATAATCGCCGATCGGCTCCGCATAATCGCCGATCGGCTCAGCATAATCGCCGATCGGCTCCGTATCCCCAGGGGCTCCCACAGGTCCACCTGGGTAAGCGATTGGCCGCGTTTCACCTCGCGGCTTCTCTTCCCGTTTGAGAGGCAGCCACTGCGTTGAAGCAGGCGTGGAGAGCATCCAGGGATGCAGGTCTGGGGAGAGGAGAGACGAAATTCTAACATGACGACGGCGACACTGAGCTCACTTGTTTATGCACGCTAACAAATCCGTTCCTGTGTGGTGTAATGCGATTAAATCATTGGTTAACTGCGCAATGTATGAAATTCATGCTTGAATGTGAGCGTTTTCTGGGCCGCACAAGTTGGACGAGAGGGTGAAGTCCTCGCTTAACGCGTGGCTGTGCTCACACCGTCACAACGCGGTACACACACAGTCACAACGCGGTACACACACGGTCACAATGCGGTACACACACAGTCACAACGCGGTACACACACAGTCACAACGCGGTACACACACGGTCACAATGCGGTACACACAGTCACAACGCGGTACACACACAGTCACAACGCGGTACACACACCGTCACAACGCGGTACACACACCGTCACAACATGGTACACCGTTACAACGCGGTACACACACCGTTACAACGCGGTACACACACCGTCACAACGCGGTACACACACCGTCACAAAGCGGTACACACACCGTTACAACGCGGTACACACACCGTTACAACACAGTACACACACCGTCATAACGCGGTACACACACCGTCACAACACGGTACACACACCGTCATAACGCGGTACACACACCGTTACAACGCGGTACACACACCGTCACAAACCGGTACACACACCGTCACAACGCGGTACACACACCGTCACAACGCGGTACACACACCGTTACAATGCGGTACACACACCGTCACAACGCGGTACACACACCGTTACAACGCGGTACACACACCGTCACAACGCGGTACACACACCGTCACAACGCGGTACATACACCGTTACAACGCGGTACACACACCGTCACAACGCGGTACACACATCGTCACAACACAGTACACATACCGTTACAACGCGGTACACACACCGTCACAACGCGGTACACACACCGTCACAACGCGGTACACACACCGTTACAACACAGTACATATACCGTTACAACGCGGTACACACATCGTCACAAAGCGGTACACATACCGTTACAACGCGGTACACACACCGTCACAACGCGGTACACACACCGTCACAACGCGGTACACACACCGTTACAACACAGTACACATACCGTCACAACGCGGTACACACATCGTCACAAAGCGGTACACACACCGTCACAACGCGGTACACACACCGTTACAACGCGGTACACACACCATCACAACGCGGTACACACACCGTCACAACACAGTACACACACCGTTACAACGCGGTACACACATCGTCACAAAGCGGTACACACACCGTCACAACGCGGTACACACACCGTCACAACGCGGTACACACACCGTCACAACGCGGTACACACACCATTACAACGCGGTACACACACCGTTACAACACAGTACACATACCGTTACAACGCGGTACACACACCGTCACAACGCGGTACACACACCGTCACAACGCGGTACACACACCGTCACAACACGGTACACACACCGTCACAACGCGGTACACACATCGTCACAAAGCGGTACACACACCGTCACAACGCGGTACACACACCGTTAAAACGCGGTACACACACCGTCACAACGCAGTACACACACCGTCACAACGCGGTACACACACCGTCACAACGCGGTACACACACCGTCACAACGCGGTACACACACCGTTACAACGCGGTACACACATCGTCACAACGCGGTACACACACCGTCACAACGCGGTACACACACCGTCACAACGCGGTACACCGTCACAACGTGGTACACACACCGTCACAAAGCGGTACATCGTCACAAAGCGGTACACACACCGTCACAAAGCGGTACACCGTCACAACACACACACCGTCACAACGCGGTACACACACCGTCACAACGCGGTACACCGTCACAACGTGGTACACACCGTCACAAAGCGGTACATCGTCACAAAGCGGTACACACACCGTCACAAAGCGGTACACCGTCACAACGTGGTACACACACCATCACAACGCGGTACACACACCGTTACAACGCGGTACACACACCATCACAACGCGGTCCACACACCGTCACAACACAGTACACATACCGTTACAACGCGGTACACACACCGTCACAATGCGGTACACACACCGCTACAACGCGGTACACACACCGTCACAACGCGGTACACACACCGTCACAACGCGGTACACACACCGTTACAACGCGTTACACACATCGTCACAACGCGGTACACACACCGTCACAACGCGGTACACACATCGTTACAACGCGGTACACACACCGTCACAACGCGGTACACCGTCACAACGTGGTACACACACCGTCACAAAGCGGTACATCATCACAAAGCGGTACACACACCGTCACAAAGTGGTACACACACAGTCACAACGTGGTACACACACCGTCACAAAGTGGTACACACACCGTTATACCGCGGCTGCTGAGCGGTCGACGATGAACTACTTTCTTGAGCTCCCACGCGGCTGAGTGGGACAGTGAGACAGTAACGCGGCGACGGCTGCGGCGGCGTACCCCCTACTGCGCGCTGTGCGTAAAACGCCAAACCGTACCACGCCTTTCCTTGCTCGCTCAACGCGGCACTTTCCAGGAACGTGTCTCCTCCCGCGCTAAACGGGGACCGCCCGCGCACTGCGTTAGCCAGGCGGCGGGGCACACCGGCTCCCGCGAAATCAACGTTGCGAGTTTGCATTTTGACTGCTTGTGTTGTGGTTATTGCAAACATGATGCCTTGAATAAAGGTGTCAGCTTTTTGTCCTAGTTAAAAGGGTAAAACCTATTCCTATATCTTGTTACTGGCAAAGGAGGTCTCATAATGTACATGCTCACCCCGAGCCCTCAATACTCTGATAGTGCGCTGTTTTTGAGTTGTACGCCTTTTGGCGTCTTCTGGTCCAACACCAATGGAGACTAGGCTCTAAGAAAAGCTGTCTCGGGTGTGGACCAATCAAATTCAAGGATAGTGCCAATATTATTATCAGAGTTGTCTTTTTTGTTTGCATTTTGACTGCTTGTGTTGTGGTTATTGCAAACATGATGCCTTGAATAAAAGTGTCAGTTTTTGTGCCAGTTAAAAGGGTAAAACCTATTCCTATATCTTGTTACTGGCAAAGGAGGTCTCATAATGTTGCGAGTGCCGTCGTCGTCATCGTCACCGCCGCTGTCACGAACCGCGCGCGCCATTCGTGTGGCTCCCCTCGCTCGTAATGTCGAGCGGCGGCTCCGAGCAGCTCGCCCTCGTCCACCGCTTGAAGCTCGCCGCCGACACCGCAACACGAATTTCTGAAACCGCTGGACCATGCCTGCCTGTATGCCTGAGCCGTCTACCTGCCCGAGTGATCTTCCGGGCTGCCTGGGCTACTTGACCCAGCTGCCTGCCTACATGAGCTGCTGCTCCCTGGGCCTGCCTGCCTGGCCCGCTGCTCCCCAAATATACTGTCGTCGGGTTCGGGATCGAACCCACGACCTCCTGCACACCAGGCGAGGGTGATAACATCTCGTCACCTCAGCACATTCATTCACGTATCCCGCCAGGGACTGCACTCAACCGTGTTAGATCTACACATCGGAGGTGGGGTCTGGTGCGGCTACCGCCTCTATAAAGTGTGGGGTTGAGGAGTCGCCCGATTGCGACTGCGGTGAAGTGCGATCCATCGCCCGCATCGCACAGATCAACGTTCATCTTCAGGGACGTGCAAATGGGAATCCATCCGCTGACCCCCGGATGCCATCAAACCGCTTGAGAAAAGTCTAAATGCAGCTATAGCGAACTCATCCGTTGCGTTTCAAGCGCTGTACGAACGAAGATTAGCAGTAGGATTGAACAACAGATTAAAATATTTTTAAAACTTTATTAAAAACATGCTTTAATGAAATGTACCGTACTAGTAATGGCAGAACTCCACGACTCCATTAATTGGCCCCAAAGCTTGCCACAACGTAAGGGACCATGGTGATTTACAGCCAACGTCAGTTGGCCGTGGACAATTAAACCCAAGCCGAAACATAACATATAAAAAATAATGTTTCAAAATACTTTTTTTATGATAGAATGTAGTATTGTCATCAGTATGACATAAGTATACCAAGTTTGCAGTCGATACCACATTGGGAAGTGGATTAAAATTGAGTTACAAGATTTGAGGATACGACAACAACAACAGACAGAGTGAGTTAAATAAAAGCGTGTAAATAAAAATTACCTCCGCTCGCCTCCATCTTCACCGCCATCGTCTCCCACCTGGGGTCGGCCTCCGAGATTTCTTGCGTCGGAGCCTCCCCCACCTCCTCTGCAACAAAAGCCAGATGCACGGCATCAACTCAGTGGTCTCTCTCTCCGCACTGTTGATTCTGACTAAGGAGCCGTCCACAAATGACGTCACGCGATTTTGGACGAATTTTGACCCCCCCCCCCTCGTCACACGGCGTCACGAAAAGTCAGACCCCCCCCCCTTAAATATGACGTCACAAAGCTCTGCCCCCCCCAAACCATATTTCCATTTTGAAAATAAAACATGCTTCAAATCGCTTTAAACTATTGTCATTGTAGTGCGTATTTAATGTGGCGCTGCACTCTGATGTTGTAGGAGAAAACATTTATTAAAAAGTCTATTTAACGTAGTAGAACAAGTGACTGATTGCGGTGATGATTCTGCGTGCGTGTGAGCCAAGTGACTGATTGCGGTGATGATTCTGCGTGCGTGTGATCCAAGTGACTGATTGCGGTGATGATTCTGCGTGCGTGTGATCCAAGCGACTGATTTCGGGGATGATTCTGCGTGCGTGTGATCCAAGTGACTGATTGCGGTGATGATTCTGCATGCGTGTGAGACAAGTGACTGATTGCGGTGATGATTCTGCATGCGTGTGAGCCAAGTGACTGATTGCGGTGATGATTCTGCATGCGTGTGAGACAAGTGACTGATTGCGTTGATGATTCTGCGTGCGTGTGAGACAAGCAACTACTTGCGATGATTCTGCGTGCGTGTGATCCAAGTGATTGATTGTGGTGATGATTCTGCGTGCGTGTGACCCAAGTGACTGATTGCGGTGAGGATTCTACGTGCGTGTGATCCAAGTGACTGATTGTGGTGATGATTCTGCGTGCGTGTGAGCCAAGTGACTGATTGCGGTGATGATTCTAGGTGCGTGTGATCCAAGTGACTGATTGTGTTGATTCTGCGTACGTGTGAGCCAAGTGACTGATTGCGGTGATGATTTTGCGTGCGTGTGAGACAAGTGACTGATTGCGGTGATGATTCTGCGTGCGTGTGAGACAAGTGACGTATTGTGGTGAGCGATAGTGGTAGTCACTGTGAGCATGACTGCGCTATGAACCCGGCGACCCGAGCTCGATTCCCCGCTCACGGCCAACACTGGCAATAGCGATTATCTGAACCATTCCTGGGCCTCCCCTAGGTCGCCTCTGCCTCAAATGAGTACCCAGTGCGGTGTGTAAACATCGACCACTGGAGAGACAAAGGCGGTCGGGAATGGTGCTGGTCACTCGCCGCCCTTGTGTGCCAGAGTGCCAGCCTTCATAGGTGCTTGCTAACAGCACTTGCCCCAACAGATCATCTTCTGTGTTGGGTCTTGGTTTTGTTTACGAGTTCTTTTGAACTCCATTCAGCTCTCCAGGCATCATTGGGGTCACATTGTTTACGGTTAAGCGCTTGGCTCCAAAAGGGCTTGCGGCGTGACTTCATGCGATGACGAGGAAAGTTCCTGAGGTCCGGAGTTGTCTACATCTGACTGCCTGCGCTACTAACCACCCCTCGCCCTGCACTAGTCCATGAGCAAGACTTTTCTATTCTCCGGAAAAGGGAAAACCACATTTCCAAGACTACATTTTTTTGTTCGTCGTGTACAGCGATTGATGACCATGCAACGTTTAAATCATCATCTAGATTGACAAACTAATTTCTTTAAAGAACTGCGTTTTGTGTTTGGTTTGTTGTCCTTCACCCCCGCACCTCCGCTCAGGCAGGGTTGACTACGTATGGTGCAAAAAAAGTTCAACATGCATATACTATACACTACACTACTCACTACTACACACTACACTACTATACGTACACAATCGAGCATTAACTCACCGTGCTCCGTGTGCCACTCCACGTCGCAGCCGCCCCCGGGGCTCACAGCGCCGCCATCCGGGGCGCACCGATGGCCGTACAGCGCCCCCAGGCGCTCCGCGGAGAGCAGCAGCTCACGGCTGAGGCCGCCAAAGAGCGCGAGGAGCGCCTCCACGAGGCCTCCCAGCAGCGTCGCCCCTGCGGCGTCTCCTCCCGCTCCTCCTCCTCCCGCTAAGCCTGCCCCTCCTCCTTCCGCTCCTCCTTCCACTCCTCCTCCTCCCGCTCCTCCTCCTGCTCCGTCTTCATCGTCGGGCTGTCGCAGGGCCTTCACGGCGCGCCTCAGCGCCGCGTAGAACCCGAAGGGCAGGCGGTGGCGAGCGGCGGCCAGCAGCTCCGCTCGCACGCTCCCGTCGTCCACGCAGGCGCGCAGGAGGCCGTAGTCGCGGATGCCCAGCTCCGAGTCGAGGGCGCGGGCCACCTCGGCGCTCACGCCCTGCGTCTCCAGCCACGCCGGGAAACCGCTCCCATCACTGGTCGCCTCCAGCGGCAGCGGCACCTCCTCCTCCTCGCAATAAGACAGCATCTCCTCTTCTTGGGGCTGCGACGGACATGGCGTTCTCTGAATATTTCACGTCTGTCTTTTTTTTTGGTGATACGGGGACTCCCTCTACTTAGGAACATTCGACTTACGATCTTTCAGAGGAATTAACAATCCGGTGCCATGTGTCCAGTTGCCTGTTCGGACCGAGAGTTGTAAGTTCAACCGCCGCGCATTAGATGGCGGTGGTGGCGTCTACACCTGCAGAACATGAAGAACCAGTGGCATCTACATCTGCAGAACGTGAATAACCAGTGGCATCTACATATGCAGAACGTGAATAACCAGTGGCATCTACATATGCAGAACGTGAAGAACCAGTGGCATCTACATCTGCAGAACATGAAGAACCAGTGGCATCTACATCTACAGAACGTGAATAGCCAGTGGCATCTACATATGCAGAACGTGAATAACCAGTAGCATCTACATCTACAGAACATGAAGAACCAGTGGCATCAACATCTACAGAACGTGAAGAACCAGTGGCATCTACATCTGCAGAACGTGAAGAACCAGTGCCATCAACATCTACAGAACATGAAGAACCAGTAGCATCAACATCTACAAAACATGAAGAACCAGTGGCATCAACATCTACGCAACATGAAGAAGCAGTGGCATCAACATCTACAGAACATGAAGAACCAGTGGCATCAACATCTACGCAACATGAAGAACCAGTGGCATCTACATCTGCAGAACGTGAAGAATCAGTGGCATCTACAGAACAAGAACCAGTGGCATCTACATCTACAGAACATGAATAACCAGTGGCATCCACATCTACAAGATATCATACAACTTTTACAGCCATTCCCCGTACTTAGTGTACATGCTGTACAACGTTTGGAATCAAAAGGAGTAAAGTTGGACTCACGAACAAATCGACTCACGAACAGACCTTTGGAATTCATAATAAAGGTTTTTGGGTTAGATCTAACCCAAAAACCTTTATTATGAATATTGGTCGCGAAAGCCTACGTGTTAGACCTTTGGAACCTGACTTGTTCGTAATTAGACGAGTCCCTGTTTTATCGTGAAAATACAGAAATGAAAAGGCACAGCTCCAAACCCGGAGCAATCGAGGGTATCTGGCATGGCCACTGGGAGCCTGGCAATGTTTCTCACCGCAGAAAACCATAGTGACGCGACCACCGCCACTCTACGAAAGCTGGCGCCAAAAACTGTGCCACACCCTACAACCCAACCGGAGAGGGCCCTTTAAACTTCCGATTCCGTTCCGAAGGCGTAAGCGGAATGGGAAACTAAAACCGATGACGTACAGTCACGCCTCGATATACTAAGTAGATTGGGTACGTTTTTGTGGGGGGGGCAAAGTAGCCACCCTGGATTGCTACTAAACTTAAAATATATTGTTTTTATTGTACAGTAGAACCTCGGAGATCGAACGCACCAGAACTCGAACAAATCGGTTTTCGAACGATATTTCCGAACATTTTTTGCCCCGAAAACCGAACGAAATTCGCAGGTCGAATGGGCAATCGCGACTTGAAAGAACCTGTACACGGCTGAAACGAGTATGGCCAGCAGCGTGCATGACGCTTGCCCAGACAAAGGGTTTACCGTATGGGACTCCCCTTCCAAACAATAACACCACCACCACCTCCTCTTCCTCCTCACCACCTTCCACTCAAGCCATGAACTCTCCTTACTACAGGTAAAGTAAAGTTCAATGTTCATTTATTTCATTTATTCCATATATTTATTCATTTATTCCATTTATTTATTGTGTTTGTTGTGTTTTTGTATGATTGTATGCGTGTAATTACTGTAAACTTCATGTAAAAATGCTTCATGAGAGATTTCTTGTGTTTGGAACCAATTAATGTCATTTACACATGATAATTTATCACATTAACATCACTAGCCCCGGCCACTTCTTTATAACCCTTGAGCTACACCCATTTCAAACCTTTTTAAAACAGTCTGCCTCAGCAGCAGACCATGCTTTCCCTCCTGATGATGGATGCTTGTGTTGCGCCCGAAACGTCGTGATTGATTTTTATTTTATTTTCTACCTACGTGACTTTACCGAAAGAACCAAAGCGTATGGATTCCTGCAGTCACGAAAGCTTCAAATCAAGAATGCTCTATAATTGTTTTTTTACCCTTTTATCTGGCAACAAAACTGACACCTTTTTTACAAGGAGTCATTTTGCATTGACCACAATACCTGTGGTCGGAATGCAAACAAAAAACATAACTCTGATAATGTATTGGCACTGTCCTTGAAATTGATTGGTCCACACCCGAGACAGCTTTCCTTCGAGCCCAGTCTCACGTGGTGTTGGACCAGATGACGCCAAAAGGCGCACAACTCAAAGACAATGCACCATCAGAGTATGAGAGCTCGGGGTAAGCATTTACACAACATTGGAACCTCCTTTGCCAGTAGTAAAATATGATAATTGTTTTTTTACCCTTTTATCTGGCAACAAAACTGACACCTTTTTTTTCATTCCTAACGCAGGTATTGTGGTCAATGCAAACATGACTCCTTGTTAAAAAAAGGTGTCAGTTTTGTTGCCAGATACAAGGGTAAAAAAACAATTATCATATTTTGCTACTGGCAAAGGAGGTTCCAATGGTGTAAGAATGAATGCTCTAGTAATGTGTGCATTGTCTTTATGCCCTTGTCTTATCACCGGTGTTAGACCAGAGAATGCCACAAAGTGAACAGCACAAAGCCAATGCAAGTATCAGAGCACTTATAGCTCGGCTAGCGCAGTTATATCTTTGGGACCCTTTTTGCCAGTATCATGACAAAAAATAAGAATAGGTTTTTACCCTTTCAGGCAATGATACAGGAGGTGTTCAGATGTTCAGACACCAAATTGACACACCTATTGCGAGGCATCAAGTCTGCATTCGCCACATGACATTTGGCAAAACACGCTCCTATAATGATAATGCACGCATTGTTTTTGAAACTGATGGGCCTACACCAGAGACAACGGCCTTCTTTATGGCCTTGTCTCACCACCGGTGTCAGACCAGAGAACACCAAAATGCGAACAGCTCAAAGGCAATGCAACTATCAGAGCATTCACAGCTCAAGGGTTCAGCAGTGCGCATGAACCACGCGAACTTGCGGCAAAATACCACGCAAAACATCGGTCCTCCGACATTTTTTATGATCTTCGTACGACATCCCTACCGCCCTCCCTTTCCCCCTCACCTCTTCCTTGAGGTCCGACGAGACGGGCGTCGCGAACGTGGTCTCCGGAAGGCCACGGCCACTGCCGCCACCGCCGCCGTGCCCGCCCCTCGAGCTCACCATCTTGGCGTGGCTGTCGCTGCCCACGTGCCTCCTGACGTCCGTCTCGCCCTGGTGGGCGCAAGAGAGCACCTTGGCGCAGACGCCGCAGTGGTAGAGGCACGGCTCGCCCCTCACGGCGCTGATGAACGGGTAGCGGCTCGTCCAGTCGGCGTTGAACTTGGTGCGGTAGCGATGGGCGCCCGTGAACCTCGTCTTCTTCGCCGGAGGTTGCCCGGCGGCGGCAACGGCAGCGGCGGCGGAGGAGCCGGCGTTGGACATCGCAAGCCGGTGGTGGCGGTGGCGGTGGCTGGCGAAATTCAAGCGCGATGAATCAAGACGGGCGAGTGGCGCACCATGACAGCGTAAAAAAAAAAACAGCCCGGCGCGTTTCTTATCCCTTTCCCGTTCCAATGACGTACGTCAAACCCAAACATGCCACGCAGCCTACGTCATCAGCTTCAGTTTTCGATTCCGTTCCAATGACGTACGTCAAATGCAAACATGCCGTCTATTGTACCTCATCAGTTTTAGTTCCAATTCCGTTCCGATGACGTACGTCAAACCCAAACATGCCGTGCAGCGTACGTCATCAGTTTTAGTTCCGATGACCTACGTCGGTACAAAGATTTTTGGCATTCTCTGGTCTGACACTGCTGGTGAGACTAGGGCATAAAGAAGGCCGTTGTCTCTGGTGTAGGCCAGTCAGTTTCAAAGAGAATTTGTACATTAGTATCAGCGCCACGTTTGTTTGCATGTTTACCACAAGTAGACTTGATGCCTTGCAAAAGGTTTTACCTATTCTTACTTTTCACACTTTACACACCATTGGTTGTATTTTATATTTCCGTTTCGATGACGTAGGTGCACATCATCAGTACGCGTTCTGGGTGCCATCGGAACGGAATCGGAGGTTAAAAAGGGCCGCGCCTGGGAGGGTTGCAGCGTGCCACAGTTTTTGGCGCCGGCTCTCGCGGAGTGGCGGCGGTCGCGCCTCCCGCGGTTCTCTGCGGCGAGTAACATTGCCCGGTTGCCAGTGGCCGTGCCGGTGACCCTCGATTGCTCCGGATTTGGAGCTGTGCCTTCCGATTTCAGTCGTTGGGTGCATGCGTGGCCTTGTCTGAAACGCTGACGACTTGGGTGCCATTCTGTGCAATAATACTACAAAAAGGCGAACATTCGGGATACGAAGCTTCAGTATAACGAACTTTGGATGTATTATCATTATGTTAATAAAAAAATAATAACTCTAATCACTTTGTCTCTCACCACTTCTTTCTCTCTCTAGACATGATTCGCAGATACAGCCATAATCGCAAATAGCAAATCCGTAAGACTCACAGTGAGACCGTGAGACTCGCCGTGAGACTCACAGTGAGACCGTGAGACCGTGAGCCTCACCGTGAGACTCGCCGTGAGACCGTGAGGCTCGCTGTGAGACCGTGAGACCGTGAGACTCGCTGTGAGACCGTGAGACCGTGAGACTCGCCGTGAGACTGTGAGACTCGCCGTGAGGCTCGCCGTGAGTCTCACAGTGAGACCGTGAGACCGTGAGCCTCACTGTGAGACTCGCTGTGAGACCGTGAGACCGTGGGACTCGCCGTGAGACCGTGAGACTCGCCGTGAGGCTCGCCATGAGACTCGCCGTGAGCCTCACTGTGAGGCTCGCCGTGAGACTCGCCGTGAGTCTCACAGTGAGGCTCGGCGTGAGCCTCACTGTGAGGCTCGCCGTGAGACTCGCCGTGAGACCGTGAGACTCACCGTGAGACTCACTGTGAGCCTCACCGAGAGGCTCGCCGTGAGACTCGCCGTGAGACTCGCCGTGAGACCCGCCGTGAGACTCGCCGTGAGGCCGTGTGAGACCGTGAGACTCACAGTGAGACCGTGAGACTCGCCGAGAGACTCACCGTGAGACTCGCCGTGAGACTCACAGTGAGACTCGCCGTGAGACCGTGAGACTCACCGTGAGCCTCACCGTGAGTCTCGCCGTGAGACTCGCCGTGAGACTCGCCGTGAGACTCACAGTGAGACTCGCCGTGAGACCGTGAGACTCACCGTGAGCCTCACCGTGAGCCTCACCGTGAGACTCGCCGAGAGACTCACCGTGAGACTCGCCGTGAGACTCACAGTGAGACTCGCCGTGAGACCGTGAGACTCACCGTGAGCCTCACCGTGAGCCTCGCCGTGAGACTCGCCGTGAGACTCGCCGTGAGACTCACAGTGAGACTCGCCGTGAGACCGTGAGACTCACCGTGAGCCTCACCGTGAGCCTCACCGTGAGACTCGCCGTGAGACTCACAGTGAGACTCGCCGTGAGACTCACAGTGAGACTCGCCGTGAGACTCACAGTGAGACTCGCCGTGAGACCGTGAGACTCACCGTGAGCCTCACCGTGAGCCTCACCGTGAGACTCGCCGTGAGACTCGCCGTGAGACCGTGAGACTCGCCGTGAGACTCGCCGTGAGACTCACAGTGAGACCGTGAGACTCGCCGTGAGACTCGCCGTGAGACCCACCGTGAGACTCGCCGTGAGACCGTGAGACTCACAGTGAAGCTCGCCGTGAGACTCGCCGTGAGGCCGTGTGAGACCGTGAGACTCACAGTGAGACCGTGAGACTCGCCGTGAGACCGTGAGACTCACAGTGAATCTCGCCGTGAGACTCGCCGTGAGACCGTGAGACTCGCCGTGAGACTCACAGTGAACCTCGCCGTGAGACCGTGAGACTCACAGTGAGACCGTGAGACTCGCCGTGAGACCGTGAGACCGTGGTGAGGGCGTTGAGGCGGAAGTGAATTCCCACTCCAGGGTCCGCGGCGATTTGAGCGCAGAGCCTCGATGGGTGAGTGGGGGGAGGGGTGAGTGGGGGGGAGTGGGGGGAGAGAGTGAGTGGGGGGAGAGGGTGAGTGGGGGGAGAGGGTGAGTGGGGGGAGAGGGTGAGTGGGGGGAGAGGGTGAGTGGGGGGAGAGGGTGAGTGGGGGGAGAGGGTGAGTGGGGGGAGAGGGTGAGTGGGGGGAGGGGTGAGTGGGGGGAGGGGTGAGTGGGGGGAGAGGGTGAGTGGGGGGAGAGGGTGAGTGGGGGGAGGGGTGAGTTGGGGGGAGGGGTGAGTGGGGGGAGGGGTGAGTGGGGGGAGGGGTGAGTGGGGGGAGGGGTGAGTGGGGGGAGGGGTGAGTGGGGGGAGGGGTGAGTTCGGGGGAGGGGTGAGTGGGGGGAGGGGTGAGTGGGGGGAGGGGTGAGTTGGGGGGAGGGGTGAGTGGGGGGAGGGGTGAGTGGGGGGAGGGGTGAGTGGGGGGAGGGGTGAGTGGGGGAGGGGTGAGTGTGGGGACGGGAGCGGTGGTGCAGCGGTTAGCGTTGCGAACCCGGAAAAACAGCCGAGTTCGATTCCCGCTCACGGCCACAGCAGTGATAGCGATTATCTGAGCTGGTACCTGGGCCTCCCCTAGATCGACTCAGCCTCAAATGAGTACCTGGTGAGGTGTGAAAACATCGCCACTGGGGAGACAAAGGCAGCCGGCGTGGTGCTGGCCACCCACCTCCTCGTGTGCCGTGCCGGCGTTCACTAACAGCACTTGCCCCAACAGGCTGTTAAGGCTTCATGGGGATCTTTGTCTTTGAATGAGTGGTGAGTGGATGGGTGAGTGAGTAGGTGAGCGAGTCAGAAAGTGAGTGAGTGGGTTGGTGAGTGGGTGAGTTTGCAAGTTCTCCCTGTGGTCGTGTGGATTTTTTTACGGGTTCTCCAGTTTTCCCTCAACATTGTATAACTCTGCCATTAAATTATTCGGCTGCTATAAATTTCCACGTGATAAGCCACTTCGCTGATCTATCATTTGTAGCCAGATCATTTCTGAAAAAAGCGAAAAAGCTCAGTGGGCCTTATCTGGTAAAATAAAAAAAAGTTTAGTTTTTTTATGTTTATGGCATTGTCCACCAAATCAGCCTCTAATCTCTCTCGACTCACACAATCCTATAAACACACTTAGTGTGTATGTTTGAATGCATGCCCATGGAAGGCCGGAGGGTCCTTTATCTCTGAGCGTGTGGTTGTGAACCTACATGTAGGAGATGTCGGGATGTTTGGCGCGCATCGCCTCTTCAATCTGCGATGGGCTCACATCGATACCCAACACTTTTGTGCTGAAAGAAGCCAGAATCTCCGTGCCCTGGCCGCTCCCACAGCCAATGTCCACAGCGAGGGCGGGCTTTGTCCCCATCTACACACACGCACACATGGAATAATCGGCTTAGCAATGTAGCCCGTTCTCTCCCCAAGCCTTTCTGAAATTATTTTCAAATGGAAGTCTGGGCATGTAACCTGGGTATGGTTTCCAGAGTGCGAGAGAAGGTTTAGGCAAACTAGGATGTGACAGAGTGAAAGGACCATCTGTGGTCTTTCAAAGTAGACGTTAACTCAATGCACATCAAAAGGCTCTCTGTTATGAACTTCATAATGGCGAAATTAAATCAATCTTATAATCTCAATCGATTGAAAGGATGCTACACCTCCTCCACAGCATATGATCAATGAGATTTCCATGGTAGAGGGGGTCCCCAATATACGTCGTCTCGATGTACGTTGTTTCGCACTAAGGTCGCCGACTTATGATCAAACACACTGTACCACTAGCATTTTGCGCATGCGCCCGCGCTTTCTTCTCAGTGTCATCGTGTTCTCTCAAGTAATGGCTTGAGACAAAGGGACTCTATGACCTTTGAAATCACTCGGGTTTGAAATCTGGCCATAGTTTGCAGGGTCACTGGCTCTCAAGACAACTTTTTTTCAGAAGCAGTGTTACCCGCGCCATTTTCAAATGGTCTGGGAAACACCCCTCACTGAAAAAAAAAATGCCGGGTGGACAATCGGCGGCACGAGCGAGTCCAAGCACGATTTGAGACTCTACGTGTGGATGTAGTCGAGCAGCGATGTTTTTATTTAGTAGGCGTGCGATAAACATCAACATATCTGCCACCGACGTTGTTGCCAGTGTCGAGTTTTTCATTGGTTCCAGGTTGATCAAACTCAGATGATAGACCAGGAGAATGTTGTTGCTTTCAACTTAGAAACTGTCCTCTCGATCGTTACTATATTATTTGCGAAGAACGTCCCAAATACTGTGCACAGTCCGAATTGACTGGTTGATGGATGGTTGTAGTGCAGCAGGACCCTTCACAATGTGCCACAGACCATGGGGGTCACGAGCCAACTCATTGACGTGCAGAGCATAGAACAATCTGCGATCTGCCAGCAGCTGTGTAAGGGAGTAGTTTGATGGGCTCGAAACGTTTTGACATCAAGCACCATATCAATACCTAGCAATTGATCAAAACCAGGCAAGGCCCACTGGTCAGTTGCAGGATGTAGCAGTGTGTCCTGCCTTACGTCGCAGCATTTCAATCATCGTGCTCTGGGTGCTAATCATGCAATAGCAGAAAATAGTTAACTAAGTAAGGAAGTGATATAGACGTTTGAAAGTAACTTAATAGAGAAAGCCATTTGAAGATTTGCTGTGTCTCCTAAGTCCTGAACTCGAAGAGAAAGAAGTTCCAGAGTTTAGGTACCGCAATTTTAAAAGGCACGATCACCTCAAGTGTGACGCCTGGACCGCGGGATACTGAACAATGTACAATCTGAACATCTTAATGATCTTGATGGAACAAATGGCTGAATGAAGTCAATAATGTTGGAAGGAGCAAGCACATTGAAGTCGTTGAATACAAGAGAATCTTAAAATCAATACGTTCCAAAAAGCAGGCCATTACAGTAGTAAATGCGTGAGAAAATAAATACGTGGATCAGTCCTTTCAGTGTCTGCAGTGTTAAGGATGTGACAGAGCCGGGATGTTTCTCAAATGGAAAAAAAGAGGTTCCTCACGTTTCTGTTGACATGAGACTGAAATGATAAAGTTTGATCTAGAAGGACACCGAGATTGTTGACCTCGTGTGTTTGATAGAGGTTACAACCATCAATAACCAAGTTAAGAAGAATTGAATTGGATAGATGGGGTGTACAGATTAAATTAAGCTGTGTTTTATCATCATTAATATTAAGGAAGTTGGAGACATCAAATCTTTGACATGAGGAATTGACTGTGCTAATTGTGATACTGTAGATACAACATCCAATCCCAACTGTGGATAGATCTGAGGGTCATCTGTGTGACAGTGATATAGCTGAACCCTTGGTGTCATAATAAAGCTCCAGGGAGAGAGAGAACATGATGGGGCTTAATACTGTTCTCTGAGGGGCATCGTGAGGAACTGTGCTAGGTGTGGATTTATAGGTGCCCATCGTAACACATTGTTTGTAGTTTGAGAGATAGGAGTAGCACCATTCCAACGAAGTGCCGGAGATCCATCAAGACTTCCAATCGGTTGAGTAATATATATTGATAAATCGTGTCAAAGGCTGCGCTTAGGCCAAGGAGGAGGAGAGGATTTGTAGAACCTTCATAAGCAGCAATTAGGAGATCATTCATTATCCATACTAAAGCTGTTTCAGTACTATAGCCAGATCTAAAATCAGACTGAAATGGATCAAGTAGATTCATTGACAACAGGTGCAAATTAAACTGCGAAACTCAAGAATCATAGATATAAAAGGGAGATTTAGGATTGGGTGGAAGTTGCTAAGGACGTCTCAATCTAGATCTGGTTTCTTGAGAAGCAGCGTTGCTGAAGCCATCTTAAATGTAGATGGGACAATCCCAGTTATTAGTGACCTGTTAACAATATCGTGGACGAATAGAACTAGAGAAGATAAATTATTTCTAAGGACAGGGGCAAGAAAAGGATCCAGAGGATACGTGGTGGGATGAAATGTGTTAATGAAGTCAGTTCAGAGACTAAAATTCAGAAAACTCAGCTAATACTGTACTGTAAAAACTTGGAGATGGGTAGTCAAAACGTATGTGGATGATTGGGGATTAATTGAGACCGGGTGGAGTAATTTTTTAATTGTTTTCCTCCATCTACAGCTCTCTCCACACGCAGCTCCCTCCTTCATCCACAGCTCTCTCCACACACAGCTCCCTCCTTCATCCACAGCTCTCTCCACACGCAGCTCCCTCCATCCACAGCTCTCTCCACACGCAGCTCCCTTCTTCATCCACAGCTCTCTCCACACACAGCTCCCTCCTTCATCCACAGCTCTCTCCACACGCAGCTCCCTCCATCCACAGCTCTCTCCACACGCAGCTCCCTTCTTCATTCACAGCTCTCTCCACACAAAGCTCCCTCCTCCATCTACAGCTCTCTCCACACACAGCTCCCGCCTTCATCCACAGCTCTCTCCACACGCAGCTCCCTCCTCCATCTACAGCTCTCTCCACACACAGCTCCCTTTCACCAAAAAGACATCAATCAGTATGTGAGGGCCACCACACATTTGAAAACATTGGATGTTTGTGACAGCAGCACAATGGGGTGCGTACGGGGCTGCACTGAAGTCCACCAGGGGGCTGACAGTGGCATGCAGTGGCCTTGCAATGAAGAACGCTGCGCTCAACGCGTGATGATGGTTCTAAATGTGGAGGGAAGAACCCGAAGGACCCGGAGAAACATCCATACGACCACCACGGGGAGAGAGAGAGAGAGAGACACGCAAATGCCAAATATACAGCGGGCATCATCAGGGTCGGTATATTTAACAACTCGCCACGGTTACACCCCTCATAGGATTCACAGCAAAAGTGAACGGTGCGTGAGAATTGAAAACTGGCCGGATTCATGCGTAGACAGTTGACGTTCAACACGTGCGGGTCCCTTTCGCGATCAATATTACCCATAACTGATTTGTGTTTTGTTTGGGTCAGCGGAAATGACAGTGTCATCGACCCTCCACCACTGACT